GGGGGTTCAGAGTGATCATATTATATAGTAAAGTCCTTTACTAAAGCATATTGCAAATCTACTTTCTGAGGGACTAAGCATTTAGGGATGAAGATCTGAGGAGGAGTCTTTCTGCCTTGGCTAGGACCAGTCTTCAAGAGTGGACTAACACTGTGGCCTTGTAAAAATTGGAAAACTGTTGCTGTAAATAAACAAGTGCTGGATCATTCTTCACCCTGTGGAGTGGCTTAGATAGCTCTCTACAGAGGAAAGGTCAGGGTCTGGTCCAGAGAGGTAGTGGATGAATGAACATCAAGCAAGTGGAGATGAAGTCCACTCACTATGGAATGGAGGAGCAGGAGAACTTTCCTGGCACATGTGGCTTTGTCTTTTCTCTCCTCTGACTACCTGTGGGGCCTCTGTTCCCTCCTCTCTCAGCCCAATCTCTTCTTCTAAACATCAAGGACAACTGCCCTGAGTTCTGCTAGCTGGGCTGGCAAGCAGAGGCATCTGACAGACCCAGAGCACAGCAGGTGTTCCATGGCTGGCACTTCCCTGTCCCATGTCCTCATTCCATGTCCCCAAATGGTCCTATTTGACCATTCTAATTTTCCCAAGCTCTCCATATCCTCCTGAGACACTGTACCTTTCAGGTTGATATCCAAGACGGTCTGTCTGGGAATGGCACCCAAGATGTCAATGGAAGCAGCGGTGTGGATGACAACAGAGACGCCCTGGCAGGCTCTCCTCAGGCACTGGGCATCCAGAATGTCTCCCCTCAGCACTGTCACCTTGGCTTTTGTCTGCAGCTCTGAGGAACACAAAGCAGGTCACTGGGAAGCTTTCTGCACAGGTAGGAAGTTTCCAGACACAGTATCAATGACCTAGGCCTCCAAGGGCAGTCAGAGTGAGGAGATCCTGGGGAGGAGGGCTTTCTACTGAAGGGACAATAAATGCTCAACAGTCAGAATGTACCATTTGCAGGGAAGGAGGAAGCATCTGTGTCTATCCTTCCCTTTGTATAAAATGAATCTGAGCAGTGAGATGTGATTTGTGCTTTGCTCATAAAAACAGAGCTATGGAAATTCATACTGTGATTTAAACAATCAGAGAGATGGTGGTAGTCAAATGTAAAAAGGGAGAATTAGGATTTAATTGATAGAGAATTATGGGGGACCAGCCCCCACTTTTATGACCAGGGTAGTCTTGAGCATGGAAAAGTGGGAAATATTTAGTTAGAAAGAGATACCTAGATGAAGAGAAGAAAGACTGAAACACAGGATAGCCTCGGGAAGGCCTGGGTCAAAACTCACCAGCCCAGAACTTTATTGAAAAGGGCTTTTTATAACAATGACAAGGGGTGAGATGAAAGACCTCCCCCTTGCTAGATACAGCCAAGTGAAGAACCTTCCAAACATTATTGGAGAAATTATTTTGGCCACTTCACGTAGTTAAAAGGATATTTATATAATGGCGTAACTCACAAATTAAGTAATGGGTAGGTCGCAGGGTTTGGGGAAGGTGTAACGCAGTCCAGCGGTGTTCTCCGGAGCTCTGTACAGTCCACCTTCACCGTTCAGCATCCCGGCACCCAGTGAGCACACAGAGAGAGCGCTGGCCCATCCAGCTCTCGGGTATGGCTAAAAATCTGTTGAGTTTACTATATTCCCTGTATCTTGGTACAATATCAACTGTTACCATTGCAACTATCTGCCTGGGCTCAGAATTTGCCTCTGGGATTTCTGGCCACTTTTTCTAGTGTAATAACAGAGATTCATATGTCATTTTATTTTAAATAATAATAAAGTTGTTTTATGCTATTCTACTTTACTTTAAAAACAGCTAAATTGGAGCTGTTCTGGGAAACAACACAAGGTTCTCCACCATCTTAACTAAGTGCAATCAGGCAGCTGGCAGTCATCTTTGCTAGGGTTGGAGAAGAGGGAGTTCATGTGACTTCATTGCCATCTTAACTAAAGGTGACCCCATGGAGTGGGCCTATCAAGGAGGCAACAACAGGTGTCCAAGATATTTTAGATTAAGATGTATTTTTGTATGAAAATTCCTGTCCTATTCTGAAAATAAGGTTTAAGGAAAATAAGATGTAAAACAATGCTAATTTAATGATGTATTAAAGCAAGGAGATCAGATATAGATTCCTAAATCTGTCTCTGTTGGCCTGAACATGCTGAACTGTAGGTAAAGAGAGACCCTTTGCTAGACTGCTTACATTTTTTCTCTTAGTGGTATATCTTGGCAGGGCCCACTGAAATGTATCCACATCACCCTTTTTGTTTGTTTTAAGATGCTCTGAATGGGCAGGGTTTGGAGAGAGAGACAGGAATGGGGCTTCTCAGACCATGCAGGGATGAGATGGAAGTCCCAATTGAACAAGAAGACCCTTGCAACTGTTGTTTGTCGAAACTCTGAGCATTATTACATGTAACACAACAATACTGGCCCAGTATCTTTGTGTGCTAATCCTTTCTTTAATAGATAAAATTTAATTTGACAATGGATTCCAGATAAGTGTACCCCAAGAACTACTATTTCTAAACTTATTTGTTGCTCAAGTGTGTCTTAAGGTGTGTGGACACTGAGTTGTGGTGGTTTGCATGAGAATGGCTCCCATAGGTTCATGTATTTGAATACTTGGTC